AAGGGACACGATTCGATAGGGTGGACTTAGCTAGGGCGCGGTTCGCAGTTTCTTCGACAATAGTCGAAGTCGAAGGGTTCGTCGAGACGGTATCGACGAGTAAACGCAGTGGACGAGGTTTCGAGGTTACGCAGCGAGAGACGAAGTGACGCAGTTGAAGGATTAGACGCGGGGCGAACTCGACTTATGAGCTCTGAACTCGAGGGGGGAACCGGATCTTGTATTTTTGGAGAGAAGTACGACAGAATTTATACTACACAGGACACTACGACTATCGACAGTGGCACACTGGTACAAGGGGCTTTGCATTGTTCCTCAAGAAGCTGCCTCACCGAGGGGCACATATCAAGTCCATCGGTAGAGTGACGTCATGCCGAACGCGGAGATGAAGAGAAACATGCGAGATACTTCGGACCGGTGTCCGTCGTTGAAGGCATGTCGCGAGGTTCGATACCTAATCGGGAAAGACCGGCTACGTCGGTGTGGCTTGGAGCGATGCGCGCGCTTGGCCGAGCGGCGTCAAGTGGCCCTATTGTTCGCCAAATGCGGAAGATGTCCCGGGATCTACGCGCGAGGCATCGGGACGACCGTGCCGAGCTTCAAGTAAGCGTCGCGCACCGTCGAAGGTGTTGAAGAGCGTCGAAGGCGAAATCGAAGTGTTGGGAGACTGAGTCGAAGTGCCGGGCGGGATGCGACTGCCGAAAAGAGGTGAATTGGGGCCCAGAGGGGCTTGGCGCCTATCATCTCCTCCCTATTGAAATTTGGACCGCCCTCGGTCCTCCACGTGATGCAAGAAGCGCGATGGTTGTGAACGGATCGAAGCGGCATGACAACCCGCGTCGGTTTCGAACACCACGTGGCCGGCGCTAAACGCTGGTCGGAAAGGGGTTATAAGCAGGGTAGACTTAGCCTCATTTTCCCCATCCCATCGTTCCTTCGTCGCTACCTCGTCGCCCTCTCCCGCATACTCTCTGCTTTCTACGATGTCTTCTCGCTCCGCTACCCCTGCGTCGACGCCTTCGCTCGTCAACCGCCGCCTCGCCTCTCTGCTCGTGGTCCTCGAGGCTCCGCCGACCGCCGACGCCACGCTCGATGTGGTCGAAGAGTGGGCGCAAGATTTGTTGCCGCTCGTCGTAAGTCGCTCGTAACCTGCATAACCCAACTAACCGTTTGTTTTCGAACAGCTCGCCTATCGCAAGGCCCTGGGCGCCATCCGCGACGAGGAGACGGAGCTGCACATGGCCGCCGCCATCAAACAGCTCGCCGAGCGGGCGTCGGAGTCGTGGGTCGAGTGGGCGCGCGGTGACTGGCCCGAGCTCGCGACCGCCATCGACGCCGAGGTCGAACGACGGGTCGAAGAGCAGAAGCGCCTCGCCGAAGAGGAAGCACGCCGCGTCGAAGAGGCTGCGAAGCGTGCGAAGGCCGCCGAGGACCGTCGCCTCGAAGACGAACGGCGTCGAAAGGACGAAGAGGACCGTCGGAGGCAGGCCGAAGACGAGCGTCGCGCACAAGAGGCCGCCGACGAGGAGTTGGCGAGGATCGCGGCCGCCGAAGGACTCCTCCCTGACCCCGCGCCTGCCGGTGTCGACAAGGGTAAAGGGCGCGCAAGGGTCGATGACGAGGTCACCGAGTTGTCGGACGACCCCTCGATCGTAAGTGTTTTCTTCTATCGTCGTTCAATGACTAATCTCTCTTTCGTAGAAGACTCCTCGGGCAGTCGAACGCCCGTTCGCGATGACGGAGGTCGACATGGCCGCCGCTGCGCTTGAGAAGCGCCAGGCCGGACAGAAGGTAAGCTCGACTCTTCGTCGAGGCTGTTCGATGCTAACGCCTTGATAGTGCGATCGTTGCACCGGCTACCGCTCGGCCCCTGTCGAGTGCGTGTGGGTCGAGAACACCACGACCTGCGAGAGGTGTGCGCAGTTCCAACAGGGCTGCTACTTCGACAAGGTGTCCGTCCTGGGCAAGACAAAGAAAACGCGCGGCGGGGGATCTACCACAAAGAAGCGCAGTAAGTCGTTTCTTCTTCTTGTCCTAGGCTTTCGCTGACGACTTAGTAGTTCGGCCGACCTCTCCTGGGCCTTCGGTCGCGGACTCGAGTGGTTCGAAGAAGCGCCGAGTCGACGAGCCTCCGCGCCCCCTGCTTCGACTGCCTCTCGATGGGGCCGGCCGCCTCGGCCTTGAACAGGACGACCTCGATGTGCTCGACCTCGACGACGAATCTCGGGGAATCATTCGCGTCATCCGCGAGGAGCGCGCCTTCATCGCTCGTCGTCGAGCGCTCCTCCATGACATGGACCTCGACCTTCAAAAGATGGAGAAGGCCGCGCTCGCGAAGGGGGGAATCGGGTTCGTGCGCGGGGCTGTCGACGATGACTAGGCGATGGCGCGGGTCGTCTTGTAGCGTAGTTGTAATCCTGTCGTAGAATATTGCGTCGATAGTCGAATCGAAAATGTGGCCCTTGGCCTAGACGAAACCTAGCGGGAACTAAGAGAAAAGGAAATGAAAATAAGTGTGTTCGAAGCAAGTCGTAATATGATCGAAGGACATAGAAGGTGAAATAGAAATGTTCGTAGCGAGGAAAAATGGGCTTAATGAAAATATAGGCTCAGTTTGTCATCACAGCCTAGGAGGACTCGTCTAAGGTGAGCCTCCGCGCAACGGTCGAATCGAAGTGTTTGTAGAACTTCGAACGATGTCGCGACTCGAGTTGAATCGAAGATATTCGTACACGGGATGGTCTAAAACGTAGGAGAGAAATCAAGCATATCGCGTAACGTGAGAGCAGTAATGGAGAGAAGAAAGTACGTATCGTGGTGTACAAGTAACAAAGGGGAAGAACCTCTATTCATCGCGTTCTTCGGCTTCTTCGACTTCATCATCGTCGTCGTCGCCTAGAGAATTCGATAGTTCGAGTTCTCGAAGGCGCTCTGTCGAGACATCTTCGAGATCTTCAGGAATTGGAATGGATTTGCACGCGAAATACGGAATGACGCGGAATGCTGCGATGGGTCGATCGAGGACTGTACCGTCGAGTTCGCACACGATGTACGCGCCGCCTTTGTTGCGCGAGACGACGATGAGGGGGCCTAGATATTGTGGGCGCATCTTGCGGTTGAGGGACTTCTCGATCTTCGTGTTGCGTATGAGCACTAAGGCTCCGCGCTTGAAGTCGAAATCCTGGATTGAGTGCTCGTGCTCTTTCTCGAAGCGAATTGCTATAGTTCGACGTGCTTCGTAGACCTTCGAGTGGAGTTCGGTGACTTGCTCGACGCGTTTCTGGAGCGCAATGGCTCTTCGGGCGATGAGATCGGTCGTCGAAAGAATCGAAGTCGGTGGTGGTTGCAGATACGTAGCTTCGACGATGTCGAGAGGAATGAGCGGATGGGTGCCCGTAACAGCGAAATAGGGTGAGCAGCCCATACGTCGTCGAGTCGTGATGCGCTCGGACCAAAATACAAAATACGCAGCTTGGGACCATTTCTTCTCATCTCCGTCGGCTGTCTTAAACAAGGCTTGTCGCGTGCTGAAGTGCGGACGTTCGACGAGACCGTTCGCCCTCGAATTGTACCCACTGATTCGAATATGGTTGATGTGGTACTTCTTTGAAAGGTAATCGGCCGCCTTGATGAACGCCGTACCGTTGTCGGTGACGAT